GAGCATTACCTCCCTCAACCTGCTGGTCATGGTGCTTTTGATGCAGCCCAGGATGCAGTTAGCATTCTGGACTGCAGGCACACAGTGCCAGGTCAGGTCAAGCTGCTTATCCACCAATGCCCCAAAATCCTTCCCCTCAGGGCTGCTTTCAATCCATTCTCCATCCAGCCTGTATTTGTGTTTGAGGTTACCCCAACCCAGGTGCAGGACCTTCCATTTGGCCTTGTTGAACTTCATGAGGTTTGCACAGGCCCGCATCTAAAACCAGGTCCCTCTGGGTGGCATCCCTTCCCTCCAGTGTGTTGATCACACCACACAGCTTAGTGTCATTGGCAAACTTCTGAGAGAGCACTCAATCCCACTGTCTGTGTCACCAGCAAAGATGTTAAACAGCGCCAGTCCCAGAGGAGCACCACTTGTCACTGGTCTCCACTTGGACATTGAGCTGTTGACCACAACTCTTTGAGTGCAACTACCCAACCAATTCCTTATCCACCGAGAGGTCCATCCATCACATTCATGTCTCTCCAGTTTGGAGACAAGGATGTTGTGCGGGACAGTGTTAAATGCTATAAATTTGTATTTTGTGATTTTTGGATCAGGTTAATTATCCTTTTTCATTGTCACTGAATGAGCCAAAAGCACTTCAAGACCTTTTTAATTCTCAAAGAACAGGTCTGTCCTAGCAAGTTTCACTTACAGCTTCCCACATGGACAGGGACATGCTGGTGTTGGAGTGAGAAATGGTATGTCACACTGAGTTGGTCTGGGAAACTGGATATATTACCTTAGCGTAGCTTGCCTGGCTGATAGAAGCTGAGCTATCTTCCATCGGAATTGATGCAATAGCAGTAAGTCTAGAGTACAATTCTGTAAGCTCATGGCAATTAAGGTAGCGTATTGAGATTTTTTTTTAAAATCTATATGCGGAAGTGTATTTTAGACCATATATTAGCCACCTGTTACTCCCTATTTTATTAGGTCCTTCTAGACTTCAAACACAGAGACTTTTTTTCTCTCTCACTTACCTTGAGCATTTTCTTTAAAACTATTTTTCCATTTCCTCATATTACTCTAAAGTAATAATATAATTTACATTTTCCTTTCTAAAAAGACTATAAAACATTTTATAACTACCTTGTAACCTATACCATGCTCATTTCAGCTGAACTGTAGATATATTTGGGGTTTGTTATCAACCACACATAGACACAATACATGTCACTTTTGCCTGTTGTAGTTAAATAGAAGACATTTTTCAAAAGCAGCAACCATACATCATAATAAAGTATTGAAAAATACTGTTTATGCTTGAAGTGCAAGGGCAAAATAGCTAGAATGTAATTACGTAAGTCGGATTATAGCCAGAACAATAGAGATAATATCCTTATTCCTTAAGAGAATGTACCATGCAGTCTTTATGACAAGTGGTCATTATTTCTTGGCTTTATCTTTCATTTGAAGGGTTGCAGTGCTCTAGCATCATACTGAGCTACTGCTGTACTAAAATAGTAATGTTTAGAATCTCCATTGAAGAATGCCTTGCTGTTGCTGCATAAATCCTATGTGAAGCCAGTCCCTGGTCCAAGGAGATTACAGTCAAAATGTTAGGCATGCTAACTTTTGTTTTTGTTGCAGGTGTTTAAATATTTGTATGTGTAATGCGTGCTTTGCTTCATGTTTTGAAACCCGTGTATAGTTCTGCTTACCTTGCACGTAAATGACACACACAGCTCAATTCCATCCATGGGCTACCTTAATAGCCTCATGTTGATGTTTACATATGTTAGGAGTACCGCTGTATTTCTATCAGGGCAACCATTAACTTACTGCTGTAAGCAAGTGCTCTTTTGATTTGCATTGTACACAGAAGCCTAGCACTGATTTTAGGCTCATGCAAGAATTTCTTCTGAAAGTATGACATTTCAGTAGAATTACTTTGTTCAGTAAGGACCCAGTGACTGACTGCAGCTTTGACCTGCTGAGTTCCCAGGTTTGCAGATACTGGAATTCTGCAGAAATGGTGAATTTGGCTCTGGCCCATGGTCTGGTAATTCACAGTGAAAGATGCTATGGTAGCTGCATGGATGACACAACCCAAATAATACACATAGTGTGACACCTGCAAGGAATGCAGAGCAGAGGAACGTCGGTGCCTGCTCCCCTTATGGCCTGGGTCCTGGAGAATTTATTAGTGGCACCCCATGGAAATAATTCACTCTGCTCAGCTGGTTGAACATCCCCATAGCTTTGGTGTGAAGTTGTGGAGTAGAAAGTCTGTCTGGCTCTGTACTTGGCCAGTCCAGGTTGCAAGTGTTACTGGATGAAATTCAGCTTTGTTTTTTCTTCACCTAAGCTGGTCCAGACCAGTGGATCCTGTTGGTAACTGAGGTTGTTTGTAGCCAACTGCTGTAGCCAAATGTGTCTGCATCCAGTGCGTGTTTAATATACAGCCTGGCTGCTGCTGTTACCCTGCGTTGCAGCAACAGCCTGCAGACCTAGAGTCTAGTCTGCTAGAGTAGATTGCGTTTCTTTTCATGGGGAAGAGCTATTGCAAAGTAAAGATGTGGTAAAGTCAAGTATTCCAATTTCAGCAGAATGTAAACTATGCAAAGGCAGCTCAGAAGAGAAATGGAGCTATCTTACGTAGTTCATCTTGCAATAAAATTAAAAGTTTGGCATTTGTCATGCCTTTGCTCACTATTTTAGAGAGAAGATACATTTTCAGGTGACTAAAGGAGGACAGCAATGTCTGAAATAAGAATTAATTTTAAGAATAATTGTTCTAATGACATCTAAAGATGTCATTTAACCCTCCAAGTTTTAAGAATTCAAGGAGGGGCTGAGAAATACAATGATGGATTTCCTGTGGATTCCTGTCCTCAAAAAGGTAGATTTCTGAAAATATTCTATACTGGTGTTATTTGAAAAAGCACTTGCTCCCACCCTGACTATTCCTTCCTTTGCCACTGGTAGAGAAAGAACTGTTTCCTTGAACAGTGAATACATTCTGTGACGCGTTGATCCTCCTTAATTCTGGAGATAATGCCTTCTTCCTTCTTTGAACAGTTAGCTAAAGAACAACATATCCAATCTGAAAATTATTCAATCTTCAATATCCTGAGTAATGGAGAGATTGAGTGCAGCAACTCTCTGGAAGATGACTGTGATACAGAGATTCCTGGACAGGCACTTATCTACCGCCCTGCTCGTCAGCACATTTATTCCATCTTGTTGGAATCTGGAAAAGGTAAAGATTAAACTCATGACACCATTATTCAAGTATACTTTCAATTTTGAAATAGGACATTTTGAATTTGTTGTTTCATTGGCTACATCAGCATTGCATTTGTGATAAAAATTTTGGGCAGCTGAACTGTACTTCTTAGGGAATCAAGTGAAAATGTGACTGAAATTGTGGGCAATTTTCTGCATGCTGTTCCATTTCACTGCTTTGAAAGTAATTTTTGAAAAATGGGGTTTTTTTTGTCTTGTTAGTTGGGAAGTTGTGAAAATTGTTAATGATCAAAACATTGAGGAAAACAATGATCATTGGAAGATGTTTATAAGTTTAAGAGGATATGATACCTTACATTGGTAAGTGTGGCTCCTGGTGAATTAGTGAGTTGTAATACACTTTTGCAGAACAATAATGCACTTTTAAAGTTTTAGCTTCTATTGATTTCAAGTCTGCTTTTTAAGGACAGTCAAATATAGTTACTGTAATCATACAAATGCAAGTAGTCATGCCAGCAATTATTAGTTCTATCATCAAAGTGGAAGAAAATGTGATTTCTTTATCCAGTGGTATACACAGATTCCATAGCAGGTACACATATCAGTGCTTCCATTAATCTGCTTTAAGACACGGAGTTCTTTATTCACAAATTTGGATGAATTTCATGTTCTTAAGACTTCCCTTAGCTAGCTGTTATCTTTACAATGTCTTTTAGGCAGTGAGTTGAAAATTAAAAAATGTACTGAAGTTTTATTCTTTTTGATGTGTTGATTTCCCCATGGTAATCACTTTACATTTTATTGATGAAAGTGCTCTGCCATCAAACCTCATATTCAAAATATTTGCTTAGACAGGCACAGAAAGGTAATTAAGTACATGACTTCCTTCAGCAACCAGAGGCTGAAGTTGTGCCATATTAGGAAAAAAAATAGGAAAAACTGAATCAGAGTTTATATTGCCATTTGGAGAGAGTAACAGAAATCTCAGCAGTAATCATGCACATCTGTCATTTTTCATTTTTCGGCCTACTGCCTCTACATTTTGTAAATAATTATAACTTGTTTGGGTTTTGTTTATTCCTCTAAGCAGCAGGATACTCATTGATGTTTTCAGGAACACCAGACCAAAATTTCTAATTAACAATTGTTGCTGCAAGATGACAGGGAGAGTAGGCAGGTTTGCATTTGTGTTACAGTGGGTTTTGTGCTTGGAAGAAGATTAGTATTGAAATACGGAAACATTCATTTAGAATCATATTGAAAATGAAATTTGAATGTGAAAGTTGTCTTCTTTTAAGCACATGATTTTAGAATAAAATCACAGATAGCATGTATTATTTATTCTCAGTTCATGCTTCAAATTCCAGAGAGCAAATCTGAAGCAAATCATAGGCACCCTCAGTCCTTAACCCTTCCAGAAAGGTAGGTGGAGTGTGTCTGCATGGACACCTCTATTAAATCTGCGTTTTTAGTGCCTGTGTCTACCTCTAACTGCTTAAAGCAGTCATGTCACTTCATGTCACTTCCCAGTAGTTCATGGGTTGTTTTTTCATATCAGTGTATAATTGCTTCTAAGTCAAGGGTGTAGATCGTTAGTCAGAGTCTGTATTGGAATTCATAAGTAAGCATAAACATTATTTTTTATGGATTCACTGCTAGACCTACAAGGAGGTTTTGTTCTTTACAAAGTCAGTAGAATCCTTTGCCAGTTTCCCTTAGATGAGGTCAAGTTGACTGTTTTTTGTAATTTGATGAGGGGTAAGATGGGAAGAAGTAACCTATACTGCATGTAGGTTGTGGAACCAGTTAAATTAGTCCATGTGGAGTCTGCTGCCATTGTGATACAGCTGCTGATGTAGCACATTTGAAGCTAACTTGACTAATTGTGCAATGTTCCAGCTTGCAGTGGTGACATATGCATTAATAATCCTCTTTTTTATTCCTTAAGATCCCTCAATTACAATGTGTTGGAAACTGATCTCTTTGCAGTTTGCAAATCTGTTTTATTTACTGTTGTCTGTCAAAGCAGCCAGCATTTATTAAAAGCAGTGGTTACAGTTTTAGTAAGAACAGGTTAAAAATAATGTAAACTTTTCCTCTACCCTGAAACAAGAGAGTGTTAGTTTTCAGTGTCTAGATTGAGGTTTTCAAGGGTGCCTAAGAGACCCAGAAATCCATAGAAGCAGGATGTCTTATCCTTTGAAAGCATTGGCCTAGACCATGCCACTTTGCCTGAAGTCATAGTGGGATAAGTGCTTCTTTTGCTGTCAGTGCCACTTTAAGTAATTCTCTTGCACAGCCACTCCCTTCAGTCCCTGTGCATCCTCTCAGTTGTGCTGGTGCAGCTGTTTGTGCAGCTGTGTGGTGGCCTAGTTTGAGAAACTGAAAATAGCCTCTCTCTCTCTTCCCTGCCTTTCCTGCAGTCAGGTAACTAACCTGGTTCTGTTTCCCCATCGGACTCTGTGTAGCCACAAACAGCTGTGGTGAAAGATGGTGAGGGAATGGCAGGGAGTGGGAATGAGCAGATCAGTGGCCACCTGTAAAAGTTTGCAGTGCTGCTGGAAGAATGGCTCATGTAACTATGTCTTTGGTAATGTTGGATGTATGGTAAGCATGTGTGTATCTTTACTCATGGAAATGTTGCAAAATTGCAGACTTTGTTTTGACCCTACAAAAATAAATGGGGTGTTGATGGTCTTTCTGAGAACATGCCATTTGTTGCCTGTGTATTTTAAAAGCATATTTATAATTAATTGAGTTATTTCTGATCATTATGTGAAATATTGCATATAGTGACATAAATTGTCAAGTTTTTGGTATCTTTGCTAGAAAAACAGTACTTTTGGGAAAATTCAAGTAGAAGGAGAAATAGCAGTAAATAATGCACCTTAATAGGCCAGCCAGACTCTTTCTTTTGTGTGCAAAGAGTTCAGAACAAAGCCAGCAAGTTTTGGCACTAGTGCAGTCCATGGAAATACCTGCACCTGTGTGACCATTGCCAATTAGGAGGTTATGTAATATAGCCTAAGCCTGTGGCCAGCTCCTGGAAGTCCTGGCATCACTCCCAGTTCTAACATTAGCAGGCCAGACTGATCCTTGCTTTGACACTGTCAAAAACAGGCAGTTAGCAGAATTTTTGCCAGTTGTCACCAGTGACCACTCAGGAGGTCTGGCATTGTTGCAGGTGTAAAGGAACACACATAACAGTGTTTTCCAGCTGTCTCATGTTTTGGAGTTTTGCACATAATTGAAGCTTTCTTTAGGCTGCCTAAGCATTGCATCCCCGAGTCATTCAGAATATATTTAAGCAAAGGAGCTAACTGCTATTTTTTGAGTTTCAGTGGTGATATTCTATATGTGCATTGTGGAGAAAAAAGTTTGAAAATTGGTGGGGTTTTTTCCAAAGATATTTCCATGCAGGGAGGGTTGGCATTTAGCAGTCATGTATCCATTTTGTTCTTGGTATGTTAATGTGCTGTCAGTTTGCAGGACCTTCCTTGCAGCTCTATTTATTTGGCAAGTTATGTGGACAGTATTATACTTTTGTTACTAATGGTCTATAATAGTGAAAAGCACTCAGCTGATGTGGTGCTGTGTCCTGTACCTACATTCACACACATCAAAAGAACAGAACTATAGACCTCCTGTTGAATTCTTCTTTTTCACTGTGCTTGAATTCAATAGGTGATACTTTATTTCACTGGTATTTAGAATCAAGGCACATTTTGATAAGTCAATCTGTGAACTGTGAAACTCATAAAGAGTGATGCTCCCCACCAGCTTCCTCTCTGCAATGCTTTTCTATTTCCATGCTTCCTCCTAGCTCTTCAGCTTCTCCTCATGTTCTTGACAACTCCATCCTGCAATATACAGTGTTCCTAAGCATGTTCCCTATTGCCTCCTTCTCTTCCCAAATACCATCTACCTTTTTTTTCCTCAGTTCTAGCTCTTCTGCAGCTACTTAGGTATTGATTCGCCATCCAGTTTGTTTGGATACAAGAAGTTGACTTTCCTGCCTTTCCTTCAGTTGTTGCCCTAATAGGATCCCTCTGTCAGCTGAGTCACCAGTTTCACAAAATGTTTAGGTCTTTAATCCATTTGAAATCACTTCTCCTTTGTCAGATTTAGTTGAAACAGAGCAGTGCATCTATGAATTCATTATAAGACAGATGTCCTAATTGTATTAGGTTTGCTTCCTTAAGAAGCCAGGCTAAAATTTGGGAGGCTGCACAAGCTGAATAAATTGAATAAAGCAGAATAATCTACATACTAACTCTTAAAACAGAATGCTAAACCATCAGAATGTTTCTGAAAGTGACTTTGGGATATTAAATTGGAGAGTTTTGTTCATGAAATAGCATTATCATAGACAATGATTTATAATCAAGATGTGAGACTATTCAGCTACTGGAATGTACAGTTTAAGGCAATTTTTTTCCTCTGGAGTAGGCATTTTTCATTTTATTCTTTTGAACAATGGAGCATAGCAAGCCATCTGTTGGTTGTTCAGTCCCTCACATTTATTGGGAGTTTGTGCTGCAGGTCCGTGGGTAAGGAGGGAAGGTTGTAAATCAGATTTTGTCATGTTCTTTTCCCCCTCTCTTATCCCTGACACTAGAGCTCCATCTGAGGTATATATACCATAGCACACTACTCATTCATGCCAAGTCATCTCCAGCATGGATCTATGGACGAGATCAGGAAACTAATGTGACAAAATGTTTTTGGGGTGGAGAAGGGAAGGACAATGTTGGAGAGATTGGTTTGGTTTGTTTTAAGTGAGGTGAAGTTTTTGGTTAGGGTTCACAACGTGGCATCAGTAATACTCATGCAGTAAATTGCAAGGCGATTGGAATTGATGATACAAGATGGGAGTTTTTAACAGTGACTTCAATACTGCCTGAGAGCTGGAAGGAATTAGAGATGCAATTCCGTGAATCCGGAAAGGGACAAGCGAAGGGAAAAAAAGACTTGAAAACACTACTTCAAGTGCCCAGGACTAGCTAAACCTGTTTAATTCATGCTGTTTACCAGATTATGTAGTGGAAATGTAGGGCACTGTGACTTGGTTACTGTAAGTGAAATCTGGACAGAATGCAGAAGTGCCATTTATAGCAACAATGATTCTAGATTTGTTTGGGTTTTCTATGAAGACTTGCATTGGAATGATTGTGAGCTGTCTGTTGTAAATTGGCTAGACTGCATTTCAAAGATTCTTAAATGTTTGGGTTTTTTTCTGAGGATATTTTGTTTGCTTTGTTTGATTGGTTTTGGTTCTTAAGCATCAAGCAGTTAGATGCACAACTCAAGCAGTGAAATATTTAATTTAAGAGGTACCTTACTCTAGTGAGGGGCAGAGCAGAGCTGAAGTTAGTGACTAGGAAGCCACTTGAGCTATGATGCATAAACAACCCTTTATACTAGGTAAAAGGTCTGGAACAATGGGCTGTAAAAGCTCTGCATTGGTTGTTGGGATGACTCCATTGCTGTCAGCTTTCAAATAGCCATCAGGACCTCCTTATAGAGATTTTGGCTCAAACCCTGACACAGGAAATGTCAGGGCAAGTGGGGAGGTGAATCATATTAAGCACTGCCTGCATATGTGGCAGTGTGATAGTTCTCAGTGAGAGACTGAGGTAGCTCCTGTGGGTCCTTAAGCTATGCCAGATGCCTCCACAGCTTCCTGAACTGTCTTGGAATGGGAAGACCTGAAACTTATTTTTTGTCTGCAGTTCCCAACTCCAAACTCATGTTTATAGTACATAATTGAAACTCTCTTCATTTGTTCTGATGATTTGTCATAAAGATAGTAAAGCTGTTTTTTCTTGGCTTGTTTTCAAAGAAGCTGAGCAAACAAGTCATTATGAATGGCCTTCTATTTTCTTTAAAATCCCAGTCACAACTGCTTCCCATTGTTACACTAGTGTCACTACTTGCATATGACTTACTGATCCAATTCTGTCTCTTTTAGGTGGAGCCTATCCTTCGGTAAAAGAGTGGTTTGTCTATTTTGGAAATCCTCTCAAGCAACCAGAGCTGATACAACCTGTACAGCCTTCTGTTCCAGGTAGAATAAAAATGTGTTTAAATCTCAACTGAAAGAATGACTTCACTGAAATCAGGTTATCATCTATCTATCTATCTATCTATCTCTGTCATCATCCTATATTAGATAAAGAATCCAGAATGTCTGTAAAGAACAAGGAGCTAAAGTGACTGAAATTGCTTATAATTACCTTTTGTAATTACAATAGGATTCAGCTTTGAACTACATGTTATTGCTGTGTCTTGTTAAACCCAGTGCTAATTCAAACATCAGTTTTAAAATGCAAACAGTTTAATAGAGGTTATAAATACTGCTCTGAGGCCAGAATAAGTGGTCTGTAGGGCCGTAGTAAAATTCTTCTGCTAAGCAGTTTGGCAGAATGTGTTAAAGAGACTGGTGGAGTCTCTTTAACAAGAGATCATCTGTGACAACCCAAGAAGAGATTGCAGCTTTCAATAAAAAAAAAATTAGGCTATCTGTTTCTATGAAGCTGTTTCTATTGTCTTAAAGCCTCAAGTGTTTTGTGTAGTTTTATCTTCTTGCCTTTGGTAAAGAACACATTCATGAACACTCTTAGTGAAAATAGGGTTATGAGGAATGTGTTATATTTATGAGGTAATATCATACACTTTAATGAAAAGGCCAGGCACTGTATATGTCACTAAGTTGTATCATGCAATACAAGTTTAGGATGGGAAATAAACAGTACTGTATCAATTTTGTTATTTCAGAGGGAAAATTGCTTTAATTGTTCATTTGTCCATGCTGTTGTGTTGTCTTTACTCTCACAGCTCTCTCTCTCTGTCTGCTATCGTGTGGATCTGCTGCTCAGAGGTTTTTTTAGTCTTTCATATGAAATGAATTAGTTCTGTTGATATACAATACCATTGATATCTTGCTGAGAAAAGTTACTACTACTCAACTTTTTGAGAGTAATTACCAGTGCTTCTTCCCTCAGCATCCAGAGCTTTCCTGTTCTGGTCTGGTCTGAATCCAGATTTGGAAGAAGTTGAAATTCATGCACTTTTTTATAAGTTTATAGTAAATTTTCTTTTAAGGTGTCCTAAGATTGTACATTTATCTTCATCTTTGAAATGTGTATATTTAATGAGAGTCTTCAAATTCAAGGGTGATGAAAAACCAGTTGCTCTTTAGTTATCAGCCTTTTCAGAATCCTTTTTAAGGGGCTGTTTGGAAAGAAATGAATTATATAGACAAAGTACAAACAGGATTTCATTTGATATACAGTAGCTTCACTGTCCAGTACTGCAATACAATATTAGGAGAATGATTTTCTAACTGGCTTTATGATAGCATGTTAAAAATTACTGTGAAATGTTCCATGTGCGTATGAAATGCAGGGTAAAAATGTCCTGTATAACTGCTTTATTTTAGTGTACAATGATCTGGGAACATGCATTTGTAAAACAAGGAAACAAAACTCAACAAAGCATAAACCTAAATAGTTGCATTTCAAATTGCCTAGCAAATATGCTGTATTTATTATTGTGAAGTTTTCCATCCCAGATAGGATTGTTCCTTCTTTCCTTTCTGGGGAGGAATCCACTTAATCTTATGTACTCTGGTTCTATAGCTCTGCAGACATGCTGCACATAGAACCCACCTTCATGTTGACAATAAACAGGACTTAAAATCACTGTGTTTGTTTGTTTATAGCAACCACATAAGTGGAGTTTATAAAAACAGAATCTTCTCAGCCATAATCTTTACTAACTCAGTAATGAAAGGCTGTTCAAGCAGACTATTAAAAAAAGGGAGGAGGACTTTTAGTGTTTATTTTTAGTGCTCTGTTGTCATTCCTTCAGCGAACAAATATTTTTCTAAAATTTTTGCAGTCCATATTTGTATGCCTTACATTCGCTCATGCGTCTTTTATTTTCCACAGCATGACTTTCTAATTCACCAAATAAGGTTCTCAACAGCACATCACATTTTTCAGACAGGAATCATATTTAGAGCTAAATTTAAAGAAGTTGTTACAGGAAGTTAGAGTTCAAAGCTGTCAGTCAACATCAGGTTACTCATAAAGAGACAAAAACTTTACCAAAAACCTATTTGGAAAAATCACAGGTGCAATTAATTTGGGAAGGTTCTTTTTATGTTTTTGAAAAAAACTTGTACATTTATCATCAAAACTACCTTAGAACTGTACTGAGAATATATGGAAAATCCTAATTCTTTTGAATTTGGATTTGGATTAAAAAGTCTGAAGCAACTATGAACTTTGAACTATAATGTACATAAAGATAAATAGTTTAAATTTTGCATTGATCTTTTTTGTGTGTGTATAAAACAGCAGAACTGCCTTTCAGATGGAGAGCTTGTAGGTGACAGATTAAATATTAGCTGTTTTTAGAAAGTGAAATATCAAATCGTAAAGGCAGGATGGCAAGTAAGATGATAGCTTAAAATATATTTAAAATACAGTATGTATTCTCTCGATGTGTTTTTCTTGAGAGACAGTTCTGAATTAGCATCTGTGCTTGCTCACATTCTCTTGTCTCTCTTTCTCCCTTCTGGAATGTTTCTTTTCAGTTGAATGAATGTGATCATGATGTTTCCCATTGGCAGAGCAGCACTTAAATTGATGTGGTGTCACCAAGAAATTAATTCTGTTAGAGGACCTGTAATACAAGAAAATACTGATTAAGACCCATATCTTGTGAGCATAGCAGATATATTTGACATGTGTGCAGTTTATATGGAACAGAAGAAGTTTTAAAGTCTTTCCTGGAAATGTATAGGTTCTGCTTTTTATTTTATTTCTGAAAATGTGTAGGATATTGTAGCTTCATACCACAGAGTTTGAATGTACTTTCAGTATTTTAGTCATTGCATCTTACAGGAATATAGCATGAATATGCTTGTGAATGCTGTCTCTGGAATGCTTTTTTAATGGTCATATATAATTGCTGTTTGGGTTTATGGCATCTTTAAAATTGACTACAGTTGCTGAGATGTTACTGCTGAGTGTTCCTAGCAGGTACATTTTTGTAACCTTGTCTTTATTGCTCAGTATTTGCATGAGTGTGTGAAAACAAAGAAGTGTTAAAGTACTATTACTGGTGTTACAAAGTAAAATTTCAATAGTCATTGCTTCAAATATACATGAATAGTTAATATTGTACATTTATATCTCTAAACACAATGATGACATATTGAAGGTTGGTATGAATGTGAGGATAACGTTTATATAAGCCTTGAGTTAAATGTTATCGTAGAATTAATGCATTCCACCACTTTTCCATGTATTGCATGTTCATAAATCAGTTATTCAATTTCAAACAAATGAAATAACTATTTGTGTTCCCTCGAAGTGTTTTTGTTTATCATGCTGCTTTCTATATGACAATGTCTTTAAATGTGGGAGTATAAAGGAAGAAGGTGAAAAGCTTTTTCTTCTAATTTGTGGGTTGTCTGTTTTTGTATTTAGGCAAGTAGTATCTCTTAACCTCCATGGAGGTCTTTGTGATGCTGCTTTTCTTGAAGTGCCTGAGTACAGTTTACATAGTACTGAATGTGGTTTCCACACAGTTTTGTGCATGTTGAGAATAACCATAAGTATATGCAGTGTTTGAGTAATTCATAGGAACTTGTGGCTCCTGTGACCCCAGTAGGATAGATAATTTTCTCATTACTAATTTTTACAGTAAAGATTTATCCATTATATGTATCTAAGTATGTCTTGGTGTGTTTTCCTTTTGTTACATAGTTTTGGTTGGTTTTTTAGGCTTATTTCGTAAATATATAGACATGTTCAGAATGTAAAATATTTCTCCTCCCTGTACTAGTAAATTTCTCTTTCAGGAATGTTTTCTAATTACTGTAAATAATGTAGTGAGGATGTAACTAGACCAGAGAACATTTTTGGAGGTCTACTGTGTATAAACTTAGGTGTGCTGTGGACTGTATACATGATGGGAGAGTCATTAAACTTCAGGGTCTTTGTGTCTTTGTTTTACTTACCTTTCATTTAAGGGTTAATGTAATGGATCAGTCTTGGATATTACATGTAATTTTAATATTTGTAGAAGAGATCCTTTCAGAAAAATAATGCCTTCAGCTGTTGCATTCAAAAGCAGACAGTGTAAAGTTTTTTTTCCCAGAGTAAATAACTCATGATTTGCCAGTACCTCTTTTTCCCAGGCACAAGTAGATATTTCCAAAAGTGTAAGAAACTGTTTATGGAAGAGATGTCTTGAATTTTTTGTTAGCTCTCTCAATATAGATATGTAATCTTGATTATTGATGTAGTTCATGGTTTTACTCTGAAGAAAGAAGGATTTCTATTATTAGTTATACCCCTGGATGCAAAAGAGAACTTTCCTTTAACTGATTCTTGGCTTATCTCTTTGCTTGCAGAAACCATCAGAACTATTTGAGTTTACCCATGTACAAATTGTCTCACACATCAAAGTTACTTAGCCTTGGGAGGAAAAGTTGACTCTATTTTGGTTTCATGCATATCATATTTGCTTTTCTTCCTGGAAGTTAGTCTCTGCTCTTCTTTTATTTCTTAAGGCAGCAATTACCAATATCCAAACCAGTAATTTGAATTTTACTGTACTGTCTGTACAGGCCCACTCACTGCCACTATTCGTGTTGTCTCTAGCCTGCATTTCTTCCTCCAATCAAGCAACTGGATTTTTTTCTTTAGATATCTATCTATATATATATAGATATAGATATATATATGTTTCCTTCAAAATAAGGTTAGAAATTTACAGATTGTATAACAGTACTTCTTTACATGGTTAAAACTTTTGGTAGGAGAGTAAGTCTTAAAAATAGTAAAAGAAACATCCATCAGGGAGATGAAGAAAGAAAATACTAACTTCTCTTCTAGTGTCCGCCTCTGCAAAGAATTAGTACCATTTGGTTAATGGGCTTTCCTGACTAAATAAACATTGTCTATGTAGATTTCAGCACCTTGTCACTTTAACCATTTATTATCACCAAGTGTTCCTAACTGGTCTACAGCTGCTGTGTGCCACATAAAAAAGGAAAAGGTGTTACCAAATGTAGCTTAATTAGTCCACATTTAAAATTCACACCTCGTTTTATTTAACTACAGAAGCAGCAGTACTTTATGGGAGGATTCTGTCTTTTATTGGGATTCCTTGGCATAACCAGGTAGCTGTTCTGTTATTTCACGTGCATTGGTGTTTATTTTGATAGCAGATTAATTGTAATTTAAATGGGGAGCAAATTTTGCATTCGTTCCCATGTGTCACAAATTGGGAGATGGCTACATGGGGTAAATATTAAGGATTTAAAACAGACAAGAATGGTACTGTAGAAAGCCTGGAAAGATACATTATTCATAACTGATGACAGTTCTTTTGTGTGTGTTTGCAAGTCTTTCATACAGTCACCTAGGAAGTGCAAAATACCAGATCACCTTGGGTTTTGTTCCCAAACTGAAACTCCCTGCAGAGGAGTCATACCAGCACCGGTGTTTTATGGAGAGTGCATGTTTGCTAGCAAGTGGCATAGGTGGCCAGTTTGTTCATTAAAACAGGTGATTATAAGAGAGACAGTGTGAGGATGCTTCAGGGAGCTCTGATACACTAACTCTAGGAGAGAGAGAGAAGAAACAGATCGGGTTGTTTTCTGCTGAATCACTATTTTATGATGAAGTGAACCTCATTTAATGCTGGGGATCCAAAAAGCAAAGAACACACTTGTAGGCCAGCTTTGTTCTTGCAGAGGTTACATACCTGCTGTCTCAAAGATGTTTGTATTGTTGTAACAATGGAATTCAGTCCACTCTGCTTAAACATGCTTGTATTCAATGAATTTTGTTTAAATTACAGGCCATATTTTTTCTGTTAAAACCTTTTCTTCAAATACGTTTTATTTTCAACTCTGTGGTCCTTGCAAGTGCCAAGAGCAGATCAGTTGTTTCAGATTGTAATGAGGTAGACATGTTTTATCTTGTTGATGTCAAAATAAAATAATGGATTTCTTCTGTAGGTGGAACACCTAATTTGAAAACACTGTGGTTTGCCAAAGGACCTGACGTGGAAAAGCAGCGCTATAGTACATTTCTGGCATGCTTTCACCTTCAAGATGAGATGGAAGAACTCCAAGCTCTAGAAGCACCTGTTGCAGGATTCTGCTGCTTGCTGGCCTATCTTATGGTGCAGGTAAGTGGGACAGTTGCTTTTTCTTCAGCTGTCAACCCTGATCAATGTGATTGACTAATAAACTGTTTCTTGCTAGCCTGCACTGGATTTTTCTCTTAATCTTTACTGTAGGCATAGTTGATCAAATATAATAGTACTGCATTACAGTGTTTTTAATAGCTCCATTTAACATGCACCATCCTGTTCAAGAAACACTTGAGTTTTTTAGTAGTTAATCATAACTCTCACATGCTCATGACAAAATCCCTTGGGCAGTTTAACAGAGTGTATAAACTGAGGGATTTCCCCTGCTTTTGGGGACCTGTTTGCAAATTAAAGCTGCTCTTTTTGCATTTCCTTTGTGTCATCAAAAGAAGACATTCCCTCAGGTGCCTATGCAGGCTGTGCAAACAGACAATATAAATATTTAGTCAGCTTTTACTACTTTTTCACACCATCTTGTCAATCTACTCATTTTCAAGCCAGAATTGAGGATATGGCTCTTCTCACTACATTCTGATTAACAGGGGATCATTAGGCAGCAGTTCTGTTGTAATTCCAAATATTTGGCAGCCTGCAGACTACTTTAATTGTAATAAAAAGGGACACAAGATTAAATACAATATTGCTTCATTATTTACATTTCTCTTAGGTATTTAATATATTGTCTGTACTTGCCACATTTCAAATGCTGATCTCACAGGTAGATCTGTGGATGAGAAAATTACAATGCTTTTATCTAATCTGATAAACTCTGCTTCACTTGAACTTACACTGAACTGCATTTTGTCTTTTGTTTTGCCTTTTCAGATTTCACTTTCCTCAATAACAGATTTATACTGGTGTGTGATGTATGAAAACAAGTTCTCCCTGACTTTTCCTTTCTTTTTGTGTTTACTCAAATTCAGACGATGCACCAAGGAAGTACATATGGGAATTATACAAATTATCTATGTAGCTCCTTTGTTTCCTCTTAAATTTTGTATAACAGAATATAAATTGAAAGGGTTTTGAAGATGAACCTCATTAAACCTCATTTCATGCCTTGTGGTTTCAATTCAGCAAGATACATGTCATGTACTTGGCTTTTAACATACTTGAAATGGTTTTCATATTTAGATATATGAAATCACTATTATAATTTTGATTTATGCATTGTGATATCCTGTACACCCTTTCATAACATGATTACTAAATTGTCTGAGAAGAGTTTGTTTAGTGGGACTAAGAAGAGGAATATCAGGATGGAACAGCTACAGAAATATAGATTTACTGAGCCTTGATCACAGCGTATTAATAAAACGGGAAAAAATGCTTGTCAGGGAAATGGTTTTCAGAATTTATTATCCAATGGCTACTGTTAAAAACAGAGATGGAAACAGTTTTGCAGCTCATGTTTTCAACAGGAATAATAGCAGAGAGATCATGCAAAAGGCTTGGTTTCATGGAGGGTTTAGTTTGATGGCAGTGTCTGTTTCTCAACACCTGTCCCAGTTTTTTTTCTGATTCTCTTTTGCCCTCTGAGTTGCTCTGATACAATATATTTGTGAACAAGACTGGAGAATCAGTTTGGAATAAAATGGTTTTCATTGCTGAATTGTTTTAAACTTTGTTTATTTCTCTGATATTGTCCATTTGTTCTCTTGGGGTGTTTGAGAGGAGGACGGGAGGGCAAGAGTGTCAGCAGCCGTGCTTTGAGCTGGCCATATTGCTTCCATTTGTTTTATAGCTGAGAAAACAACGCTTGTCTAACTGTGATCTAATTCTTGTCCTTACTTTACACTTGTTGTAAATTTGTGTTGGAGAAGGAAGGAAGGTGGATTCTTAGCTCAAATATATTTTAGGTTGAGCAATTGTAGGTTGGCTTGAAGCAGGCTAACATTTCCTTCAGCTCATGTGAGAGAGAATAAACTTCTCAAAAATTTCATACTTGTAAAAATTAGGTTTTTGCAGGAAGCAGCATACTGATCAACCCATCTGGCTTTCTCAAGATTTAGATGTATTTAATGAAAACTTCAGCTGCCTTTTTTTTTGTCCAAGAAAAAGATTCCAATAAACAAACGTTAGCTATGTAAAGAAAGTGTTGATTTGAAGAATATTTTTTTACAGTGAGGGTACATTTCAAATATCCTCTAAATCAAGAACAAAAATAGTGAAAAAATTGTGAAGTGATAGGTCTGTCTTTAAAGCTGGGAAATGAGTTCAAATATCAAACTGTGAAGCCTCCAAAGAAAGGGGAAGTTTCTCTTTTAATCTCTTATGGATTTGGAATAAGTCAGACAGTGGAATTGTGATAAGTCACCAAGTTTGGTTACTGAATAAAGTATCTCTCCAAAGAAGTGTTTTGATATTCATAAGTATTTTGGCTGATGTGCTCTGTTAGGGGCATTTTTTTTCTGTTTTACTTGCAAGCAATCTTTGATTTCCTTTTCTTAGGACAAAATTGTGCAGGTATTGAGAATTATTTTGTAGATGAAAGTCACTTTTTCTATTCCTTCAGTGTATAAAATGTGCAGGTTTAGTAAGCCTCTCTTGCTGCCATCTCCCCAAAGGTGACACCTGACTTGAATTACAGGGTGAAGTAGGGCCATTATCAGATCTTAGCAGACAGGTGGAGTTAATGAATACCAAGGAGCATTTTGAAAGCTTAAATTTTTTCTGATATCCCTCACATTCTTGTGCTTTATGCAAGATTTAGCAGCATTGTAGAGGGGAAAGTATTTTCTAGTGGGACAAGCAGCAGGGCCTGATTCTAAAAATATAAAATTATTTCTCAGTAGTGGTTGGGTAATTTTGTCTTGAAGAGGAAAGAATGAGCTACTCCTCCTAAGCAAATAAATGAATGACATAATTATAGATGGTTTCTTGGTGGGCTTTTTTTCTGTTGGATTACATCAATAGTTTTTTGTTACTTTTTCTCTCCTTCATTTTGTCTGTCACTTTTTCGTTTGTAATAGACTAAATATGAACTCTTAACATTCCCTGAAAATCAAGCTGTTAAAGGCAATGCAGAGTTTTAGGCAGCCTCTTAACTGTTTGTAAGCCCACAAGGCACATTTCCACATTTTGCAAGAGAAACCTTTCCTCAAGTTCCAGTTGATAAGGAATTGTGCTGCTTTATGGATTTCACTGCAGAGCCTCTTTCTAGCCTCACCAGTTTAACAGACGTGTGGTCTTGGTGCACATGTATAATCTGTAGTGTTCTCATAAGTGGAAGGAAGGGATCAGAGCTGGACTGGTACTGTCATGGAATCATCCCAGCTGGTCTCGAGGTGCTGTGTTTCTCCTGAGGTGACCATGTGCCTCTATAAAATCTTTCTAGACGATGCATTCGTGGTGGTTGTAATTGCACGAGGTCATTAATCTAAGTTTGATGTGCTTGAGCAAGAGGAGTCAATTTGCACAAAGTTCCTCTTTAGAGCCTTCAGATAATGTGTTGTTTTTTCATCTTTTTAGGTCAGTAGCCTCTCTCTGGAGGACTTAAATGCATTTGTGGCACTCATTCTCTGCCTCAAAGGGAAGTCAGCTGCTCAACTAGCAGGTCTGCAGGTATGGGCTGTATTCCTGTTGTGTAATACAAAGTAGTCATGGTAATGTGATAAATTTTTTTCAGTGTTCTACATTAATTTTTTTCAGATATGAGAACTAAGGGTCGTGGTAAATGTGTAGGATTTTAATGGGTTACATTTTATGTGAATACTTACATGGACAAGCACAGTTTCTATTAGTTGCAGTCCTAGGGTGAGCAACTTAGTCTCAGATTTCTTCCTTACTTAGCTTCCAGACTTCCATCTGATGAAAGATTTGTAACAGTGAATCCTGTCCTACAGCATTGCTTCATTCTTTTTTACTGAGGAGGACGGTGTTTTGGGACATAGGTTGTATGAAAGTCACTACATTAAATTAAATTTCAGTATTGCTACTTGAGGAGCAATATAAACATAATATAAACCTAACCAGAAAAAAATGTTAACTAATGCAACCTCCAGTGAAAACCTTTTGGATTATGCTATTCTATAATTATTCAGGAGTTCTTTTGAAGATTTTTTGTACACCATGCAAATCTGGTTTTTTCCTTTCTTATCTTCTTCAGTCCACATGTGGAAAGGCAGGTTCCTCCATAGTTATTGCAGTAGAACTGTTTAAATAGTTCTTCTTGCATATGGAAATATACAAGAGTATTTTCAATCTCATAGCTTGAAATTGTATTCAAAATACTAGCACTGTACAGCACAGACTGCACATGCCAATGGGTTGTTGTGGGTTTACATAAAAGTAAGTGGTAAAGGGTTAGAAATGGTTGGAACCTTAGTATATCTTCACTCTGTAAGTCTTGCTTATATTTCCAGGCAAGTCTGTTGTTTTGAACAGTCCATGTGAGAATTTTAAAAGTACATGGTAAACTAGCCACTCCATTTGTTTCTAGTGCACTGGGACCAAACCCAGTGTGATTCCGGTTTCATTATTCGATTCATTATAATAAAATAAAAGTCCAGGCTCCTATCTTTTTTTTCAAATTCATCATAAAATTGTTCTGCAGCTGATCAAGTGTTCAATCTGTGTAACAAAAAGGAAGCAGTGAAAGGAAGGTAGTATGGAAAACAGCAAAAATGTAGGATTTATTTCTGTCATAGGCACTATTGTGTATAGTGTTGCAGTCAATGTTGGGAGTATCATTATCAAGTCTGTGTCGTAGTCGTTCAGTAAAAGCATAAAGGAAACCAAGCCTAAGCAAGAAGTGTTGAAACAATTTGTTTATAGATGTACTTACAGGTATTATTGTGTAAGTTTCTAAAGTACTTGGAAGTTTATTCTGTTTGAATTAGGGGGTTTTGTGTGATTCATTTGTGTTGTGGTTCTATAAAAATATAAATCTGCGTGTTGCATCCAAACACTTAATATTGTATGCTATTGTAATACTGTATCAGCATTCTGCTAATTCAAAGTTGGTCACAAAATTCTGTAACTTTCCCCCTGAAGCTTATGGCAGATCAGTTGTGGGCATAAAGGTGTGTGAAATATGAAGCTGCTCTTGCAGTGTGTCACGTGTCACTCTGTGAAGTGGACAGTGTGTTGTTGGAATCGACCTATGTGTGCTATTGGCAGGTCCTTTCCAAAGTTCAGTCACACTGATGCTTATGTAAGCACTTCGTGCACTGTCACATAATAACTTCTGCTGTGCTACAACCCAACAAAACATTCATGTAGTGCAGTTGAAACTTTTGTATCAGGCTATTTCTAGGACATTTGCTCGTCTTATTCTATTAACATTCACAGTGCTGTCTTTGGTAATAGTTTGAGCCAGAAAAAATCCCGATGAAGGGAATAGTGAGGAAAGATTTTAGTCTCTTTCACTTCTGAGGTTGTGAATAGATAAATAACAGTTTCAAAACTTTCCCCTGTTGCCTTCAAATTAACCTCCCTTCCTGTGTTTTGATGACCTGGATTTCCTGGTGGAAAACAGTTCCTCTTTCTCAGTTTCTTGTGTATCTGTGTCTTGTCAAGCTATATCAAGAAAAGATGTTATGTTGTATTAATTGCCATAAAAATACTTTTTTCTCTTCATATATAAGCCACCTGTAATTTTGTGGAAGCACTGGGATCAGTTTCAGGATTTATATGAGGTTAATCTCACTTCAGAGGAAGAGCAAAGACTGGTCTGTTTCCCATTTCTGTGCTCCTGAAATGTGGTGTGTAGATGAGCTCAATGTCCTGGAAACTTTTTCTTGAGAGGACAGGAGACTAAATTAGTAGAATATCTTATGTAATTATTCTAAAAATAATGATCAATAAAGCAAGCTTTCTGAGCATTGTTATTCCAGCATCTAATTGTAAAGATTGCACCTCAGAGTAGTTTAAACTGGTTTTACTCATTACTGTGTTTATTTAATCGTCCTACAAGATAGAGTTATGCTGTTATTTTAATAGTAAATAGGATATCTGTAGGTATTTAATAGCTTAATGTTCTAGGTATTTGTGTTTAAAATTAAAGGATCCAGGTGCAATGAATTACACTAGTACATAGCTAATTAATAAAGGTGTTTATAGTAGAAAATCAAGAAGAGTTTAATATGTTTACCATACTTTTTATTCTCCACTGAAAGGTTAAAAGTGATCCCTAGAAACGATTTAATAACAGAGTTTTCAAGAAAGTTGAGTTAAACCTAGTCAGCATCTGCAAAATTTTATGAAGATGTTTGATCATTTGCCATTTTGGACTTAACACTATAGTATTATTTTAAATGTAGAAAAAATATGTTTACTTCTTGGTAGCAGTTCTGTGAAAAACACTGGTTTTATAAAAATAAAAAATCTCTGTTTCTGTAAAGGAGTCTATTAGCAAATATGATTTAGCAGAAAAAACTTAGCTTCCGCTGTGAAGTAAGAGAGAAAATGTAAATAGATCCTGTTCTTCTGATAGAATGAAGAGGGCGTTTCAGCCTTCACTTTCCAATCTGCTTTATAATATGCTGTCCATATTTCATAGTTAATCAGATCCATAAACCCACAAATCTATGAAACAAAAATGCCTACAGTTTGAATAAAGTGGGTTAAAGCCATAAAAAATATAGTTTATCTCATGCTGAAAGAAAGTGGGCTGCGGACATGTAACTACACTGTACATTAAATATTACTTTCCGAGAATAACAGTGTTTATACATGAAGATTTGATTATTTTTCAAGATCGATGGTTTCAAAATACCAAAATACGCACATGATAGAGAAGACATTTTTCTCCTGAGTTTTTTTCTAGTTTCTTTCTGCTGCCCCCCTTATATGGTAGATTAGCATTCTGCTTTGCCCGAGCCTCCCATAGAGCTTATACATAAGGTCAGAATTAAATTTTGGACCCCAGGTTGTCTATTTCCCTTCTTTCTATTTTAATCTGGTGTGTGGTGTTGGCAAAAAGCCCAGAGAACCATCAGTCTAACTTTGAGGTCGCTGCAGAGAAAAAGAGGCACCAGCAGTCATGCTTCTAGTCTTGTTTCTTGCATTGCACTGGCTCTGGTTGTTTACAAGTGCAATTACACGTTGGCTTTCACCAGTAATGCATGTAAAATTCTGCCCAAACAGGAAAGACCATACTGACTTATAAACACAAGTACATTTTTTTTCTAAGATTTCTCTAAATATGTGAATATATGAAAAATTTGTATTGGAGGTATAAAGCTCTGAGTCACATCTTTTGCCAAAGTTGTGCCCAAAGGTGAAATGGGGAAATTTGTTTAAAAAGGAAACACACCTGGAAATTGGCAGGTGAAATTTGCATCCTGTTAAATGCTTTTAGAAGTGAAATGTGTGTCAGAAAATATGAAATGAAAGTTAATAGCAGATGCAGGGGTGGACATGCATATCACTGCTGGAATTCATGGCATTTGCAAACTCTTTACAGCTTTGCCATAAAATGTCCCATTATGCCAGAATTTTCTGCTATGGAGTAATTGCATCTTTTGTACCACTTGTAAAAGGAACAGTTTGGCTCTGTATGAGGTGCAGGACAGTCAAGCACTGAAGTATATTTCTTCCATTTTTCAAGTGCTTTCAGCTACTTTAAATTATTACTGATACAAAATGAGCACAGTGAGTTTAGATCTTCAGTTGTATTCTCCAGAGAGTCTTTGCAACTTGATTGCAAATGAACTTTCACAAAATATGTATTAGGTATTATTTATTTAGCTTTTGGAATAATAATAAAAAATACTCAACAACCTAGTTAACTAGCATGACGGGTGGGAATGGCTTTAGCAAGAATTGTGGTTGCACAGAACCTCCAAGTATTTTCATTGTACAGTGTCATGAAAGAAAAATTACCTTGGCAATATATTATGCTAATATTGCACATGATATTTTTCTCTGAATATTTTCCTGAGGGGTACTTAGCCACATCCATGCAAAATAGCAGTATGTTTTAGAGTGGTAGGTAGAAGTGTGGGTATCTTGGTTAGTAGTGTGTAGATATCTTTAGTTAGGGTCCCGCAAATTTAAAGAAAGCAGTTGCTAAATCTATTCTGTATTTTTAAACTCAGTATTCTTCCTTCTATGCCATGCAGACAGAAAAGCATAAATAATACCCAGATTCTGAACATTTGAGAATTTCAATCTTCTGACCTATTTGGCAAGCCAAGCCACTTTTTTCAACACCATTACATGTTATATTTTTCAAACAGTCTCCAAACAGCCTTTGTAAACAATCTGTATTTTTCAAAACACAATTGTTTTTAAAAATCCTTTCTCCTCCCAGGGAGTGTATGTTTATTATGCCTGTGTGACTGTTTCCTAATAAATATTTGCTTGAAGTCTAATTGAATTGAGTACAACATAAAATTCAAGTAAGAACATTGTAAAGATCTTACAGATAAGTTTCTCTTATATACAAAGGACCTGCTTCTGTGATGTACATTAGTATTAACTAAAGTGGAATTTAAGTGCATTCCCAAATGTTTTAATGAATTGAGATTTATATTCCCTCAAAATTTGCATCTGTCAAAAATGTTTTTAAAATGATAGTTGAGATTATAACTGGCGGGGGGCAGGGAATGGGGGGGTTT